GAGCTTGCTGTACTAACAGTGAGGGCGACTACAGATGGCAGTCCTAACAGGCCTGTTCATTTTAAATTGTGACTCAAACCACCAATAAGATCACTAAAAAAGTAATTTGCCAAATGTGGAAGGATTTGCAGAGGGACTGGGAGTGAGCAATACATTTAGAGAAAGCATCCTTTGCTGTGTCAAGCTGAACTTCGCTCTACCCATCAACAGAAAAACCGAATTTACAAAAACATCATGCGGACTAGATGTTCATCTCTGCATATTCAGTACTAATTCTAATTCCATCCATCTCTTGACTCTCTCTTAGTTCTCAACCCTTTCATCACTGGGAGTATTTCTGCTTTCATGGCTGGAGTCATTTAAAGGAAACCGTCATGGCAAATACAGAGGTGAGCAGCTAATTAGCTATCTGCGTGGCTGTCACTAGCTTCCATTCATCCTAAGCCACTAAAGGCTGGACATACATTACACAATTTCCTTTCACTCAACCATGGGTTGAAGAAAAGAAAAAAAAATTGCTCAACTCCCCCATCAACACAGTTAGTGTTGATGGCAAAATCCCTCCCATTACGGGCACTGTATTCTGATAGTGGGAGGTTTCCCGCTGTCAGAATATAATTATCACTACGGCTGGCTATAGCCAGTGGCAATGATCTTACAGAAAAAAAAAAAAAAAACAAACAGGCTGTTTGCACTGAAGTGGATCAATATATCAACTTCAGTAACACCAGCCTGCCCATAGATGGACAGAAATTCATCTGGTTCCAGCTGAACCAACCAAATTTCCACCCATCTATGGCCAGCTTTAGCCTAGCCATTCACATTTCTCCTGCTTGGCCCATGGCTCCTTCAACAAAATGCAAATGAAAAATCGATGTTTGTTGACCCTGGTGGTCCTGATAGGGCCACCCATGGCTCAAATTACAGGCAACTCAGCAGGAGTTATCCAAAATTCAAGCCGTGTATGACAGGCTTAAAGGATTAGCTCACATTAAAAAAAAAAAAAAAATACTCCATGCGGTCCACACACACCATTCCATGATTCTAAACTAACGCAATTTAAAAACATGCATTTATGCTCCTCCCATAGCTGTAGGCCATTTGCAAACAGAATGAAGCCTGCCCCAAACACTCGTTTTCCTAGCTCTGCTCTATCCTGTTCTCTAAGACAGACCAGCTGTTAAGCAGGGCATGCTCAAGTTTTTTCTCTTTTGTTCAACCAAAAATAAAAAAAAAAAAAGTCAGATGCCCACATCAACACAAACTATGTGTGATGCAGGGCTCTCCCCTGCAATGCTACTGTATTCCAATAGGAGCCCCCGCCAGAATACACTGATCAGCGCTTGCAGTCAATTATCAAATCGATAAGATCGAATGTTGGTTTTCCAACAGAACCATTGTTGAACAGACAGCAGTACACATGAACTGAAGGTTGTGGCTGGGTCTTCCAACATGACAACGACCCGAAGCACACAGCCAGGATAACCAAGGAGGGGCTCCGTAAGAAGCATATCAAGGTTCTGGAGTGGCCTAGCCAGTCTCCAGACCTAAATCCAATAGAACATCTTTGGAGGGAGCTGAAACTCCGTGTTGCTCAGCGACAGCCCCGAAACCTGACAGATCTAGAGATCTGTGTGGAGGAGTGGGCCAAAATCCCTGTTGCAGTGTGTGCAAACCTGGTCAAGAACTACAGGAAACGTTTGACCTCTGTAATTGCAAACAAAGGCTTCTGTACCAAATATTAACACTGATTTTCTCAGGTGTTCAAATACTTATGTTCAGCAGTGCAAGACTAATAAATTCTTTAAAAATCATATAAGTGGGAGAACTTGCAAAATCGCAGGGTGTTCAAATACTTCTGTTCCTCACTGTATCTGAGAGGCAGAAATTGTTTATTGCCCTTGGAACCCCTAGCTGCCTCTGGAGAAACCCTAGGATTCTATGGAACCCTAGTTGAGAAACCCTGATCTAGACAGTTTACATTCGTTCCCTTTTCCAACTCTGAAGGCTGATGGGTTACATCAAAAAATAGCTAAGCTATTTTACTTAATTTTTAATGCAGGCCTCATTTGTTAGGTTTCTTTCCTAATACATGTTCTAAATCAGCAGTATTCTTTGCCATTATAATAGTTGCTGTATTGTCGGTGTAGGGCACAGAGCTTTGTAAATGGCTGCGGGGAGTAAAGCAATTTAAAGGCAATGTCTGCTATTTAATGCAGTGTGAACTACAGCCTTAAGTGTATTCTTTGGTGGTTTAGTTACACAAGCCAAAAATCAATAATGTACGAAGGGCCTGGTGTCCTTCAATCCTTTGTCAAACATGGCGGCCCCTGTGTATGCTTGTCTGAGGGTTTCATTCCGAGATCTCGGCTAAGACTTTGTTTGCTCCATTGTAGCACTGACAGTGATTGTTCCAATATCAATCTGACCTTTTAACTGTACAGTTGACAGTCCTTTGAAATCCATTGTGCCCTTTAAGAAAATAGCATGGTGCCTTAAAGTGAAAGTAGAACGTATTTTAGCAAATATACAATACATGCTCAGTTATTATTGCAAAGTTTGCCTTAAAATAACTTTTGAAAGGCCCTTTCACTATATTGTAATCCATAGACAAAATTACAGATTCTCCATCCAGAAGCTGTGCGTATGGTGCATGGCGCAATCAGAATGCCATGGAATTACAGAAGCTTATCTGCACAGTGTCAATGTTTTCTGCCCTCTATTGCAGCCTCTCTCAACCTTTTTAACACGGAGGACCTCTTGAAATTACTTTCAGGTCTCAGGGAACCACTGACAAAAATTACTATAGCTACAGTTCACGGTACATTAGTGTGGTGGTCAAAGGGAAGAATGCTCCTGACGTTTTCAGTCTTTTGGAAGAATGCTCCTTACGTTGGTAGTCTTTGGGAAGCATGCTCCTTTCGTTGGTAGTTTTGTGAAGAATGCTCCTTACGTTGGTAGTCTTTGGGAAGAATGCTCCTTACGTTGGTAGTCTTTGGGAAGAATGCTCCTAACGTTAGTAGTCTTTGGGAAGCATGCTCCTCTTTGGTAGTTTTGAAGAATGCTCCTTACGTTGGTAGTCTTTGGGAAGAATGCTCCTTACGTTGGTAGTCTTTGGGAAGAATGCTCCTTACGTTGCTAGTCTTTGGGAAGAATGCTCCTTACGTTGCTAGTCTTTGGGAAGAATCTTCCCCTTACAGATAGCTAAAAAGATCTCAGGTGGCATTGGTGATAAACCTGGGAGGCAGAAATTGCACAATGTTCAAGGAACCCCTAATGACCTCTGGTGGAACCCTGGTTGATAAAGGCTGCTCTAGTGCATACTATAAGAATTAACTTTTGCAGATGCCCTAGGGATCTAGGCCCTCAGCTAGGTAGTAATCATGCCCATGCTGGAAAGAAGATCACCGCCCTAGGCTTGCAAGCATCAGTAAAGAACCAGGGGAACAATCAATCATAACCCTCTCCCCAAAAACTGAAAAAACAGCATTAAATGCTGTTGACAAATACTTCTTCCATCAACGCAAACTGCAAAGTATAGCCCAAAGCAACTAGCAAGCAATGATACTTTACTGATCTACCTTTGGAAAAAGGGGATCTGGATGGAGACGGCCTTTCTGACCATTACTTATCAAAGTGGGAGAACTTGGTACCCAGACAAAAAAATTGCCACATGACTGGTTCATGGTGACACTTTATTCATACCATCTGGGGCCATTACGGCATACAACAACGTGGCCCCCACCAGGCTATAAGTCTTCATGCACACTGGGCATTTTTACAGCTGCTATTTTGGACATCAAGTGTTCTACAGCCAATAAACTCCAGAGCATGTTATCCTATGTGTCCATGCACACATGGGCTATTTTATCAGCATTTTGTGGCAGGGGTGTTTTCAGGCTGTTAAAAAAAAAAAACAAGAACTAGTGCGCGTTTGAAGAGGACTTTTTCAGCTATAAAAATGCTCTAACGCTGTAGGCATTTATGAGCATTTTTGAGCTTTTGTGGCAGTATAGTTTTGCTAAAAACCACTAAAATGCATATTCTGCAAAACGCTAATGCAAAAATGCTAAAAAAAGCGTGAAAAAACTTGTGTTTTTTAAACACAGTATGCTACAGCTAACGCTACTGGCATGTTTCTACTGTCCAGTGTGCATGAGGCATAAAAAAAGAGCAAAAGAGGGAAATTAAGGAAGGATAGAAACACTCACTCTGTTACAATGTAAATGCCCTGTTGCTGGCAACATTTAAAAAATAGTTTCTACAAAGAACTTCCTGTAATTGAATGGATTTAATAACTTCCCTTAGATTTGGTACCCCCCTCACTTCCCAATAATGCTGATGGACGGATTGGCAAAATAACAAATGGAGAATATGAAATATGAATGATGTAAAAGGCAACGTGGACCTGCAAATATGTACACATGCACAATTTTTAACTTGCAATTTAAAGCAGTATTAAATGCTACAAGTTTTGTACATTTCTGAACTCTAATCATACATGGAAACATCCCCCAGTAAATTATTTATATATTAAAACAAAACCTCATTTCTTAACCTCCCTAGCGGTATGATTATTTCAGATTTTTGGTGCTGAAAGCTTTACCATTTTTTTTTAATGGAAATATGTAGTTTTTTTATTGTAGGCCTGTAATTTAGGAATAACTCACTGAAATCTGTCCGAACAATAGTCTAGTAAACATTCCGGATTAGATAAAACTTGAAACACGAAATCATACATTATAATTTAATAAATAATCAAAAAAATAACACTAATAAATTTAATTCAATAATATAATCAAACCAAAAACACTGAAATTTGAAATATAGCGCCAAGTTCACACATCACTGAGCAAAGTCGCAAAATCGTTTTCAGTGTCTGATGATGAATTTCCCCACGAATCATTATCACTCAATTCTGCAAGTGGTTCTGATTTACTATCGCTGTTCTCTAGCTGGTCTAAAACCGATTTTGAAGTTTCAAAATCGAAGTTTCCAGGCAGAAAGAACAGTCAAAATGCAGGCAGGGCACAGGACAAAGCACTAGGGACAGAATGTATGTGAAATGCTTTGAAACAGCAATGTTTTACTATGTAATAATAGCTTTAAAAAAAAAAGTAATTTTTTTTAATTTTCAAATTTGCCACCTGTTCCGGCGCCCGTACGTCCCGACGTCACAGGGACTGGAACACGGAAGCCGGCATCGGCCGGAGGAGATGGCCGGGGATGCTGCAGAGGACACATCGCGGGAGCGAAGGACAAAGTAAGCGCTGCAGGGAATCCCTGAGCAACGCTGCATGGTAAGCCCGAGTGTAGCTCGGGGTTACTGCTTTTGGTACTGAAACTTTACTCCGAGCTACACTCAGGAATACTGCCAGGGAGGTTAAAGGATAAATTCACCTTTTTGACAAAAATAATAAATGCACATTTTTTTGCAGGTAAAAAAATGTGCATTTATTATCTTTGTGTGCAGGAGCCTGGAAAGCATTGCACCAGTGATCAGTAGATCGCTGATGCCAATGCAGGTCTCCTGCAGACCTGTCAGAATATCTGCTTTCCATAAGAGATGTATGAGCAAGCAAGTATTCTGACAGGAATCTTCAATGGACTACCACGGCGCTCCACAGCACCATGGTAGTTCATTGAAAACTACAAGCCGGCAGCCACTAAGGCTGCTGGGAATTGTAGGCACTCATTCACAAAATTCTGTGAATGAATGACGAGGCCGTGTGTATGGAGCCCCGCACGACCACGCCGCTTTCAAATCTGACAGATAGTACATGGAAACTTCTCCCCGTACTATCCGTCAGAGAGAGGGGGGCAGCGGGTGTGGGCTGCAGCTAAGGGAACACGTTACACGTTCCACCCGAAAAATGGGTGGAACATCTAACATGTTCCCAAAGAGGAACTTATCCTTTAAAGTGTAACTGAAGTAAAAAAAAATTACAGATATGCATCTAGTTTCAATTCTGAATTGTTTTATAGGGTTTTTCAAAATTTTGTGTATATTGAGCACCCATATCCACCTTAACGTTGTTGCAGAGAACCCCATCTACATCAATTTCCCGTGTCTCCACTTCATTCTGCTCTAACTGCTGTCCATCAACTGGCTAGGAGGAGCGACTTCAAGGGTGGATATCATCATTGTTCACTACTTCTAAAGGGATACAGACATTGCAGTTTTCCTCGTCAGAACACTGGGACTTCACCAGGTAGGTAAAATGAACCAGACCTTTCTATTCAGGAACAGTCTAGAAAGGACACGTTGAAACAAATTCATTCAGAACTGGGAGGAATCTGCATTAACATGTGTTATATCCTTGCAACGCACATTGATAAAATGGAGGGGATTTTTTTTCTCAACAAAAGTGAAGTTACACTTTAAAGGGATTCTAACCTTAAAGTGTTACTAAACCCAGGACCCTGCATTCACTATATCTGGTCTCCCACAGTACACAGACAATAGAAATGCAATTATTTTAGTAAATATAAACTGCTAAATCCCTTTTCTCATCAGCAGTTAGAGCAGTCTTGTGACTTCCATCAGTGTACAGCAGAGCACTGGTTAAAGCTTGTAGGAGGAGTTTTTATTCTGCTCTAGGAGGATGCAGGACTCCTGACCTCTGTCTGGACACTGTTAATTGGCCCTGTGCTGATCACATGCACTCTCCAAAGGAAAAAAAAAACTTTCTAGCAATACACACCAAACTGAGAATGAGTGCCGCCACACAATATGTCTTATTAGGAGATAAGAGGGAGACACTGGAAGAAGAAGAGGATCACAAAAGTCAGGATCAAACAGCATTTTTACACAATGCAGAGGATTAACCCCTTAGGTTCCATAGTGAGTATAACAAGCATGCTTTGCTGCATATACAGAATGGTTTTAATATTGTGGTTTTAATAACACTTTAACCACCAATTACACAAAGAGGTTGGGAATGGGCTCCACCCACGTCAGTCATTCACAGAGTTCTGTGAATGAACTACATCTACCATCTCCCTGTCTGATGGTCTGTAATTCTTAATGAACTGCGCTGGCACTGGTGAGCATCCTTGTAGAGCATAAATTCTTCGTAGACTGCAGTAACAGCCTGCCCATACGAGCAGACAGCTACACTGACAGTCTGCAGGAGCCTGAGATTACACCAGCGATCTGCTTATCACAGGTGCAATGCTTTACAGGGTCCTGAAAAAAAAAAAAAATAGTAAAACGCATATTTTTTTTACTTGGAAAAAATATGCCTTTATTTACCGTATTTTCCGGCGTATAAGACGACCCCCTCCTTTTCCTGTTAAAATATAGGGTTTGAGCTATACTCGCCGTATAAGACTACCCCTCTTCCAACGCACACCAAATAAAAATGAAAAAACATCAGATTTCATTTCAATATGGTATGCTATTTCAGTATGGTATTCCAATGATGGGGTGCTATTCCTCCCACTGACACCAATGATGAGGCACTACTCCTCTCACTGACACCAATGATGGGGCACTATTTCATCCACTGACACCAATGATGGGGCACTATTCCATCCACTGATACCAATGATGGGACCCTATTCCTCCCACTGACACCAATGATGGTGCCCCATCATTAGTGTCAGTGTGTGAGGAATAGTGCCCCATCATTAGTCAGTGTGAGGAATAGTGCCCCATCATTAGTCAGTGTGAGGAATAGTGCCCCATCATTAGTCAGTGGGAGGAATAGTGCCCCATCATTAGTCAGTGGGAAGAATCGTGCCCCATCATTAGTGTCAGTGGGAGGAATAGTGTCCATCATTGGTGTCAGTGGGAGGAATAGTGCTCCATCATTGGTGTCAGTGGGAGGAATAGTGGCCCATCATTGGTATCAGTGGGAGGAATAGCACCCCATCATTGGTATCAGTGGGAGGAATAGCACCCCATCATTGGTGTCAGTGGGAGGAATAGCACCCCATCATTGGTGTCAGTGGCAGGAATAGCACCCCATCATTGGTATCAGTGGCAGGAATTGCGCCCCATCATTGGTGTCAGTGGGAGGAATTGCGCCCCATCATTGGTGTCAGTGGGGAGAATAGTGCCCCATCATTGGTGTCAGTGGGGAGAATAGTGCCCCATCATTGGTGTCAGTGGGGAGGAGGAACAGTGCCTCATCGTTGGTATCAGTGGGGAGGAGGAACAGTGCCTCATCGTTGGTGTCAGTGTGGAGGAAGAATAGTGCCCCATCGTTAGTGTCAGTGGGGGAGAGGAGCGGCTGCTCCTTCTTCCAGTGCGGCCGCTCGATTTTCGCGGGGCCGCTCGGCTCCGCCTCCTCGCCGGTGATTGGTCGCCTGTGTGCCTTTCCAGTGCTGGCGCCCAATCACCGGTGAGGAGGCGGAGCCGAGCGGCCGTGTGACCATCGAGCGGCCGAACTGAAAGAAGGAACAGCCGCGCTTCCTAGACCGGATCGTCGTGGGACCGGAGCCAGGTAAGGTACAGCAGCCCCTCTGCCCACCCCTGTACTTGGTGTCCGTTGGAGGAGGAGGGGGGGCGGCGCCACGCCGCCCCTCGAAAAAGTGCCGCCCTGACCCGGCTCGCACCGGCGTATAAGACGACCCCCAACTTTTCAGAAGATTTTCAGGGGTTGAAAAGTCGTCTTATACGCCGGAAAATACAGTATTTTTTATTTATTTTTAAAGGTGAACTTATCCTTAAACCACATGGTAACTGTGCTATAGCCGAATGACGACTATAGCGTGGTTATCCAGTTCTGGGAGGGAATCATATGACATCCTCCCAGAACATGCCTCCTGCACGCCCCCAGCGATCTCCGTGATCGCTGTGTCCTAAGGACATAGCTGATCATGTGATGAGGTAAAAGTCCAATCACAGTGGCCTTTTACCACATGATCAGCTGTGTCCAATGACACAGCAGATCACGGAGTAAATACAGTTGTCGGTTATTGGCAGTACTTTTCTCACACTGCCACAGTGCGATGAAAGTACTGCTGCTAACCGGAAGCTGTCACAGAGCAGATCGGCACTGATGATGATCAGTGCCCAGCAGTGCCACCCAGCAGTTGCGCCCATCAGTGCCGCCAGTCAGTGCCATCAGTGTCACCCGTCAGTGCTACCCATTAGTGCCGCCTATCAGTGACCATCATTGCTGCATATCAGTGCAGCATCAGTGCCTCCTCGTCAATGCCCACCACTGCCACCTCATCAGTGCAGCCTATCCATGACACCTTGTCAGTGCCCATCAGAGCTGTCTATCAGTGCAGCCTCATCAGTTTCTAATAGAAACAAAGAAAAACCTTTTTTTTTTTTTTTGCATTTTTGTTTATAGTGCAAAAAATAAAAAACCAAGTGGTGTGTTTAAATACCACCAAAAGAAAGCTCTATGCGTGTGAAAAAAATGATAAAAATTTCATGTGTACAATGCTGCATGACTGCACAATTTTCATTCAAAGTGCAACAGCGCTGAAAGTTGAACATTGGCCTGGGTAGGAAGGGGGTATGAGTGCCCAGTAGGCAAGTGGTTAAGGCATCATCCTCAGTAAAAAGGGTTCCCTGGTGCCACTCTTTTATGCTTTTTTCATCAGAACAGACCATATCTGGCTACAATAGCCTGTATATGTCATGTTTTTAAAGCCTTCTGTGGCCATACAATACACAGGAAGCATCAACTGCAGGGGGCCTGTAAAATAACAAATAAAATAGCTCACACTTAACTAAACAGAAACTGTGAATACCAGGTCAGACATCACAGCCTGCCATAACACGGGAAATGTCAGCTGCTTTTCACAAGGTTTTAGCACCCCCACCAGAACCCACACACACCTACACTGATGTCCTGCACCCATGTGCTTACACGTCACTATTTTTACACATTTAAACGCATGCACGTCCACGTGGTCCATGTATTTTAGTATAGGTTGACATTTTTAGCTAGATGCCAGGTGAGTAAATGAACTGGAAACAAGATCTAAAGTCTACCACCTGCCATCGCCAGCACAAGAGGGGCTCTTTCTCCTCTTGGTGGATATCTCACCTGTGTTAACAATGGAACAACAGACCAACATCATACAGGGGTGGTGCTCAGTACACAGTCTAATGGCTCTGCGTGCAGCCTAGCATGTCCTGGACTGGGCCACCTGCTGGGTCCCTGTGGAGTTTGTAGATTGGTCACATTGTGCCAAGCAGCCAGAAGTAAAGTGGACAGTACTGTCAGATGCAGTACAGGTAAAGTCCTGCCTTCGTTGGGAACAGGAGTGTGATGCAGGAGCAAGTGATCAGTTAAATGACACCAATGACTCCTGCAACCTTCACTTCAGTGTGCATTACCATACATTGCAAAAAATGCAGCAAAACCAAAAAAATGGTTATGCATGGAGATGCTATACAACCAATTCATTGTGAACGGGCTCCCAGACTTGATGAAATGCACCTCAACACACAAAAACGCATTGCTATTGTGTTGCCCTCTGGAAGTGTCAGTGGGAGCACTTAAAAGTGGAGTTCCACCCAAAAAGGGAAGTTCCGCTTTAAAGATTGGTCCCCCGCTCCCCATTAAGGATTGGCACCTTTAGGGGGCAGGGGGGGGATGGGTACCCGAATTTGACAGGTACCCACTCCTACTTCCACTGCGATCGCCTAGGCCTCCTACCCTCCCTCCACGAAGTCTTGTGGGACACATGAAAGGTCCCAGAAGACGACGGGGCTATTCAGAAAGTGCAGAGCTACTTGCGCATGCACAGTTTGGGCACCCGGCTGTGAAGCCGCAAGCTGTCACACCCGGGTACCCACACTGAAGATGCTGGCCTACTGGAATACAGGACGGTCGGTGAAACTGGCTGCGGCGGGGGCAACGCAGGATCGTGGGACAGGTGAGTGGCCATTTTTTAAAAGTCAGCAGCTACAGTTTTTGTAGCTGCTGACATTCATTTTTTTACAGAGTGAGTGGAACACCGTTTTAAGGCCCTCCATTTTCAAGATGACCACCGCTGGCGTGCACAGTTCAAATATATACAGGATAACTATACAGAAAGTCAGCATCACCGTGTAATTGCTCTTAAGATCATCTTTTTTTTTTTTTTACAATCCAATAAAGGCTACATAGTCCCAAAACAGTTTTGACGTGTTTCAGAATTCTGAGCTGCCAATCTCATGGTCCAGGGTCTTGTGCATGATAACTCCCTACAGACTATACTGCAGTTGAGCCATACTGTCTTGTTTAACACCCATCCCAACATGTGACTGGACAAGTAAGAAATTAAATTTTGGGGGGAATTCCATACATCAATATGTGCTAACAGCCTTAAAAAGGCACCATTTGAAATTGCTGGCTATTAAAAAAACAAAAAAGATCTGATAGCTGCAGACTGAAATAGAAAACTAATTTTAAGCACGAGGCCTTACACCTCAGAAATGTTTATTTAGCACATAACCTGCACTGACAAGCTAAATAATTGGAAGTGTCAGAAGTGTTTAAAACCGTCGAATGTGATATACAAGTGTTTATTTTAATGTCAATGCAGATGCTCTCTAAAAACCACCCATGTATACAGTTTTATAGCAATACATATGGGGGGGGGGTTATTTACTAAAACTGCATGATGTAAAATCTGATGCAGCTCTGCATAGAAACCAATCAGCTTCCAGGTCCTATTGTCAAAGCTTAATTGAACAAGCTGAAGTTAGAAGCTGATTGGCTCCCATGGATAGCTGCACCAGTCTGAGTGCTCCAGTTTTAGTAAATCTCTCCTATGGTGTTTTTTGGATTTCAATGTGTTTTTGCTCAGGCAGTCTGAACATACATCAGAGCCTGTACTCTCTGTACAGGAAAATGTGTTCACATTCCATCAAATATTCCAAAAATATGAGGATTATTACTTTTTTCAGGGTAGTGGGTGAAGCTATGCAAATCATTCCTTGCGCCCCACCATCCAGATGCACATCCAGGGCATTAAAGGATAAGTTCACCTTTTGTAACATGTTATGTGAGATGGGGAAACAGCTCTCATTGTTTGAACACTGTTTGTGTGGAAGTAAATTAATGTTTTGACTGACATTCTGCGGTTTAGCCACAATATGTCACTGTTTTTCTAACACAGCCTCAGACTGCATAGATATTTGTATATTCATGAAGAGGTGGGGTTTTGCACACAGAGTTGGAGAGAACAGGAAGGAGAGGGAGAAGCCATGTTTTGGAGCATGGTGAATAAGGGGCCGTGTGAGCTGAGAATCTGATGACATCCAGGTGTGAAAGCGTCCCTCAGTAACCAGAGATTGCTGCCAGGAATGCTAATGAGATTGCTGCCAGGAAGCTGATGAGATTGCTGCCAGGAAGGCTGATGAGAGCAGAGGAACTAAGCAACATATACGGTACGACCGCATGCTTGTTGGAGAGACATTTGTTCTGTTCAGAGTCACCAGAGGATGCAAAGCAGACCTGGGTCGGTAAGATCGTGCACGCACCTCATTTCAGTGTTGGCGCCTTGCGACTGAGTCCAGGCCTAAAGTTAGTTAGGGTCTCTGTTTGTGTCAGGCCATAAGTGTTGTTACTTATTATTGGAAGGACTCCACAACTTAAAGTGACAATTCACATTGGAGAGCTGATAAAATCCTACAAACTCAAGCCAGACTGGCGGTTTGCTCAGAAGGAATACTCAGGCACGTACTACAGAACCAGTTATGGGAGGGGGAATACTGTAGATTTGTGTAAGATTGTAAGCTGTTGTGCTGCACCGCAGGCTAGCCCATACCATACACCCATACACTGATTCCTGCTCTTTTAGGGTAATAACAAGTAAGGTGTGGCAGCTTATTTGTGCCCACCAGTAGGTAAATTACTACACTTTCTACCTTCATCCACC